TCCTGATCCGAAAATCGAACCCAAACTCCTCTAGTATTGGTTGGGATTTTTACAACATTTATGATATTTTTTTTGTATTTTAATGAGCCGACGTTTGACCGCTATCTCGCCTGGTGGTAAGCGATGATGTGGCCGACAATGGAGCACGTCTGCCCATAAGCAAACTATTCACTCGAATAAGATAATTATGAAACTACAAAAAATTAAAATCAACAACTTTCCAGCAATTTCTTTTAAATAAATGTAAATATTAATAGGAGCTGTTGGGCCGTATAATGTAAGAACTGAATGCGTGTAATCAGGGTTGCGTGACCCCCTCTGCCGACCCCTAAAGGAAGTGTCATGATGGATGACGTCACAGTTACCATGCAGGATTTTTTATTTTGTTTCGCTTAGGGTTGTAACGTTAAAGGCGTTTGTGTCTGATGACACGGGTGCAGGGTATTGTGTTATTATTCGAACAATAATTATAATAGGCTTTCAAATGACATAAAAATAGTCTTATATAACTTAACGTCATTCAAAACAAAATTATTAAGTTTCTAGTGCTAGATGCTACTTAACTACAGAATTTCTCGACGACAAAGATTGCAAAAACATTGTTTTAGAATAGTAGTTACATAAATATGTAAGTAAAAAATAAGTGTAATATTCGTATACCGATTTGGTAGAATGTATAAGACATTAATTAAGATAAAACATCTGTTGTAACTACATGCTAACAAATATTTTTTTCTTTCTTTTTTTCTACTCATATTTGATCCTCAAAAATTGGTTACAGTTTATTACGACTTAGACTTAAAACAGTTATCTTATAATTAAGAAAAAGAGCATCTGCGACCGAACTAGGCGTGAATCTGTATCTCGGCACGCCAATTGCCTGCAATAAAAATTAGTTATAAATAAATATTTCGTTTGAAATTAAATATTTGTGTGAAATTATTTCTTAAGTGAGGTTTTGAAAATATATTATGTATCGTGTTATCATAGACAGGTTTATACAAATATAAATTCAAATAAAAATAGTTACGTCTTGATATAATTAATTATTTCAGTAGGTAAATTGTATTCACAAAATACAATACAAAAATATGAAAAACTAAGTAAATATTCCCTGCGACTTCGTCCGCTCAGAATATGATACCTGTTTTATTAGATGGAAGCGTTATTTTAATCGGGATAGAAAGTCCTCTATCACATTATTCTATCACCTAAGTCACCCCATACCGTGCCTGTATACCAGCGTGATTACGATCTCCGGTCACCGTAAGCGCGGGCCTGCGGACGGCGAGCATGGGTGGCTCCCCGTCCGACCAGAAACAGACCCGAACGTACGGCGCCGAGCCGTCCGCGCGCGCCTCAGAGCCCTACCTCAGAGCAGACTACCACGGATGGGGCCCAACAGGGCTGATGCCGATTCGGAGTCGCGGAGAACTTAACGAGTTACCGGGGCTCCGGCTCGAAGCGCAGGAGAAGGAACGGGGTGGTTTTTAATCAGTAAGAGTGTGACACTCCCTCCCGCCTCACCCAGGCGGGAGCAGTCATACGATGATTTTTCCCCCTTAAAAAAAACCAGCGTGATTGACGGACAAACATACAAACAAAGAAACTTTCATATTAAAATATAAGTGTGATATATTATGAAAATTACTCAATCTAGTTCCCCAACCAAGGCACCAGTCAATCTCACAGATAGTAAGAACTAAACAAAGCTATACATTAATCACTAACTTATAACAAGTAAAAATACAATATAATATTAGTTACTAACTCTACATGTGCCTTAATGTATGACATAAATTATTCACAAACTAATCTCTCACAAATAAGATACAAGACAAAACAAAAATATTTATGTGTCACACACAAAGTGTAAGTGTGTGTCAGCCCTACAACGAATACTACTTATTCTCTAACAGGTATCAGAATGACATTTCTAACACTGACATGTCTCAGAATGACATTGCTAGCTCTAACACGACATATAATAATCAGAATTGTGTTTGTTTTTATTATTATGTTAACATGGAAAGGAAGTACACAACTTTCTTATACTTATTTCATCACTAGTCGTGGGCACAGCCCACGACTTCGTCCGCGTGGAATAGTGATTTACAGCTCCTCCTCTGTCGGTGACAGCGTGATAATATATAACCTATATCATATATTTTTATTAGGCATGTTAGTAATATCCATGTAGTACTTTTTGAGTTTAGCCCAGACATAATATGTACCTAAATACAGACACACAGAAAAAAATTAAAAATCCATATTTTTGGCTTCTGTATAGATCGTAGATCACCCCTCAAGCATTCTTTTAAAAAAATATACAATGTACAGTTTTCGATTTTATTATATGTATATAGAAATATATGTACATTTTCATATTTCATATTTTATAACTCAGCTGATGTACTTATCAGCTGAGTAAGGGGTCTTAGGCAAAGTGATACAGTGTTTAAACAGATTTGTCGGAATAATATCTCAACTACACATATTACAGATACTTTTGAAGGCAGAAATCATCCAATGTCTCTTCCCTCGCTTTGGGTGAGGGGAGATCCGTGTTCTCTTATTAAAAAAAACCGTTTCCCCACACTAGGATTTCCTCCTGTGTCGTGGGTGCGTTCACAAACATACAAGTTCACATACACATGACACTCAGACCTGGAACAATAATTTGTGAATCACTCAAAGAGTTGATCTGTGCGGGAATCGAACCCGCTACACCTTGCGCGGCAGCCGATTGCCCAGCCACCGCGAACTGTGCAGTTCAGCCAACAATCTAGTGTTCCACCCTGTTCTTACTAGATTCCACTGCTCCAGGCTTCCACGGCTCTAGATATAATATTACAGACGCTGGAGACAAAACAGGACTCTTAAGGTGAAATGTAAATTGTGAATATTGTAAGTGTACATACATAAATAAATACATAGCATATCTTCATTTCTGCCTAACCCTTCGGTGATCGTCGCGGAGAACCTAACGGGTAACCGGGTCTCCGGCTCGAAGCGCAGGAGAAGGAACGGGGTGGTTTTTAGTCAGTAAGAGTGTGACACTCCCTCCCGCCTCACCCAGGCGGGAGCAGTCATTCGATGATTTTCCCCCCTCTTAAAAAAAACCCTTCGGTGATTGGGTGTTACAACAAAACACAGAAAAGTCTCAATTCCATTTCTAAGAAAATTTAAACCCGGGAAAGCAATTAGAGAATTACTTAGAACACAAATTATTTTCGTATAATTTAGCCGGACCGGGTGTAAGGTTGTGAAGCGGTCGCTAATGGCTACCGGACGTCCGGATCAGCCGTCAAATGAACCGGGTACAATGCCGGATGAGTTGTTCAAGACGGTAGTAATTACAGCTGGGTGTTAACCTGTACTTATAGGTATATTCGCATTAAGGCGTGGAATTCTTTGTCAGAGAGTATACCTGGTAGTGTATACCTACGTGTCTTCAAAGCCCGAGTGAATAGGTTGCTCATGGGACGACGAGCTCCATCGTAGACCGCATCATCGCTTAGCACCAAGCGAGATAGTGGTCAAACGTACAAATATAATGTAAAAAATATATTATAGAAAGTCAAGCCTTGATGGATTTCGTAAAATCGAGTAATTATCAATATTTAGTGATTGGTCCACTACGAAATTATAGGCCAAGTCTAAATAAAAGAGTTTGACATAATCTCAAAAAGTTCACATTTATCAGAGTGCTGCTGACAATATTGAATCTAGAAATTGGCGTCCCATAGTCTCTGCTTATCCCCATGGAAAACGGGCGCTATGTCTATGTATGTATATAAAATCTGTGGATTCTTTTTTTTTAAGGGGGGAAAATCATCGAAAGACTTCTCGCATGTGGGTAAGGCAAGATCCCTCCTGGCTCTTACTGACTAAAAACCAGCCCGTTCCTTCTCTTGTGTATGATCTGTGGATAATCTGTGGATAAGGATCGATTTTTGACAGAATTTGCATGACTCCATGCGTGTCAAAACTCGAGCATAATGAGCAGATTTTCAATTGAGATAGGTTAGTACCTCATCATCAACAGCCTGTTCTCGTCCACTGCTGGACATAGGCCTCTTCAATGACACGCCATTGAGCTCGATCTTACTCTACGCATCCAACCACTGCCAGCCACCTTGCGGATGTTGTCACTCCACCAAAATGGAGGGCGCCGGCTACACTACGCGGTGTCCACTACAGAACACGTCTACCCTAGCATTCATTGGTTCTTCGACAAATGTGACCGACCCCCTGCTTGCGACCCATTTCAGCTTGCTAATCCTTTGAGCTTTTTTTTTAAGGGGGGAAAATCATCGAATGACTGCTCCCGCCTGGGTGAGGCGGAAGGGAGTGTCAGACTCTTACTGACTAAAAACCACCCCGTTCCTTCTCCTGCACGTCGAGCCGGAGCCCCGGTTACCCGTTAGGTTCTCCGCGACAATCCTTTGGGCTACATCAGTAACTATAGTTCTCTATTAGATCACCTCGTTATAGATCCTATCCTGCAGAGAAACTCCGAGCATAGCTCTCCATAGCTCGCTGCGCAACCTTAAATTGGTGGACCAGTCGCACTGTTAATGTCCACGTCTCGGCTCTGTATATCATTACTAGTAGGATGCACGGTTATTACCTAATTTCGACAAAACGACTCTCAGGACGCTAAGTACTACTCTTGGGCCCGATAGGGCCGATGCCGATTCGGAGTCGCGGAGAACCTAACGGGTAACCGGGGCTCCGGCTCGACGTGCAGGAGAAGGAACGGGGTGGTTTTTAGTCAGTAAGAGTCTGACACTCCCTCCCGTCTCACTCAGACGGGAGCAGTCATTCGATGATTTTCCCCCTTAAAAAAAAACACATCGAGAAAAATCTATCAATAATAATTCTTAAACGTCTAATATTCTACCAATAACGTATGCGTTCACGTTATCGATTGCACTCTCTATCAGTTCAATAGATAACTTTATCAAGTGGTATCAAACATTCTCTTATCATGGCACAGTTTCACACTGCTGTTGTCTTTATTAGACTCAAAACATAGACATTATTTCAAATAAATTCGTGTTTTTGTACTTTTTTTAAACAAAGAAATAGTGTTTAAGTCTCTTTTTTAAATAGTTTTCGAGTATTTTGACCGATTATTTCGAGTTTTCTAAAGGTTTTGTGTATTAAAATGGAGAATACAGATGAAAGTTCTGCCGATATAAAGGGTTTTAATCTGAACCCTTCTAATACTAGGTAAGCTGATGTTGAGATATCTTATAAGTACTCTTATACTATTATATAAAGCGGAATAGTTTGCTTTTTTGTTTGTTTGTTTGATCGCGCTAATCTTCATAACTACAAGTCTGATTTGAATAATTCTTTTTGTGTTGCATAGCGCATTTATCGAGGATGGCTAAAGGATATAAAACATTACGCTACGACTAATAGGAGCTAAGCAGAGCGTGTGATACCGCGCGGAAGTAGCTAGCATTTAAATACATACGTTTTATTAGTTTGTATCGTCAGAATTATTTATAAAATGATTGTTATTTGTAATGATTTTTAGGTACTATCTAAATGTAAGCTAGGTCTCTGTCTATTAGTGAACGAATTTCTCGTCTCTTTTAAATCGGTTTTAAAATACACGAGTAGCAAAGAACGCACCCTTTTAATACCTAAACATCACGCTAATTTCTGAACATAATAACCGAATAAAGTGTAAATATTTTACGCGACCTAGAAATCAAAGCCGATAATTCCTATTGCATTGTGTGATATAGAAAATTATCTCAAATCTGACAACAAAGATCCGTTCTAACACATATTTGATAATGTTTCAGTAATCCCCTCCTGATCCCGGACGAAGTCAGCGTGAAGTTTGACCCAAACGCCTTGTATTATGACATGAGCGGTGATAAATACCTCATCATATTGAACCAGCATACCTTCAAGAAAACTATATATTTTCAGTTGGTATTTTTTTATTTTGTAAATTTCGAAAAACGAAATTTTAGGCTCGTAAGAGTACCCACGTAAACAATGTAACACAGACCATCCACACATTCATAAATATACTTATATAATCATATAACATAACA